AAGTCGAGCTGCATCTGGAACGCTAGTTGGAACGGTTGGAACGGACTCCTGGGCGAATCGCTGATGGAAGGACTCGAATCCGCTGCCAACTTCACTTACGTTAATCAATGCATCGTATTCATCATTTGGTCTATTATCTCAATAAAAATCGTATTATCTTTCGGAATTGAAGACGCTCATAATGTCGTTTACATTCTTCATGTAAGCGATGCCCATAAGAACAGAAAAAAATACTATCACGTATACAGATACTCTTTCTCTTTTCGCATAGAAATATAAATATTTTATCTTTCGAACTGTTTCATACAAAGGTTTTTTACATCATTTCACATGAATGACCTTGCCTATATTAACTGAGTACGTTTCCCTTCTAATGCAATAACTCAAACATTGGTACCTGCGTGAGATGACGTAATTCTTTTTTCTTTCTTCTTTCAGATATTTCATATTGACACGTCGAAATGATGTTCGTATCGCTTGGTTTCTCTAACTTTGCACTAGTTTAGCATGTTTTTCTTAGTTTGATCCATCAATTCGTATTAGTCATAATTTTTCTCTGCATAACTCATGCAGGTAGTGTGCACATGTTGTAACCAATGAATTCACTCAGTTAGCTCTACTTTCAGAGATTCCGGAAAAGATTCCCAATGAATACAAAACAAGTTTGAAGCAGTGGAAAAGGGTGAAAGCACAATGGAAAAATTCATACAAATACACACTTACGCGAAGTTCATGGGTTGGAGCGAGAACTACATTGACAATGGCGAGGTCTGTACTATTCTACACTACTGGAAAACTCATATAACTGTAGACGAGAGGAGAGCTTTCCTTTTCTAGCGGCCGATATCATATGGATTGATTTTGGTTTTCATAGCCATGCAATGATATTAAAAATTGTATTATTTTCAGGTTGTTGCGCGTGAATTCAAACAGATGATGGGAGGCCAATTGAGCAAGAGTTGGTATGAAAAGAAGAATGAATTGTATACGCATGATAGTGAAGGCTGGGATCCAAAAGAAGCAGGAACACTGGATAAGATTTATTCGTCATGTGTGAAATGGTTAAATGTTCCTACTCCTGGAAATAATATGAAGCAATACACGGTGATGTTTTCAGTTGATGAAAGTCGCCAGTTGTTGCACACGTGCGGACATATACCACCGATGTGCGCAGATGATTGTTTCAGGGGTATATCGGTGACAAATTTAAGACCATATAAACAAAAAAAGCAAGAGAGTTAAAAATTACCATAGCAAACGTTTGAAAGTCATTGTACAAAAAGATCAAGCCTGTATTGATTAGTGTTAGTTGTACTACGTCTTGTAAATTTTTTGTTTTGTCGATAGTAGATATTCATGGTAGATGAAGTAAATAAATTAGAATACAAAAAAATTTTTTCCGTCAGGAAACGGGGGGCGGTGGTCCCCTTAAAAAGGTCAAAACCTGAAAGTTCAAAAATTGTCACTATATAATTGAGATGGCGCTTATTTGAGTTCAGTTTTAATAGGTAACAGAGTGATACATTATAGCATCTGATTTTTGTATGATTTAAATCTTGTCTTATGATTCAAGCCATATGATGAAATCCTTGAGAGAAGTCGAAGCCGGCTGTGGCAGTTCACAGCTCACTGAAATAATCTCAGTCACCCTTAAAATACAAATGTTAACAATGTTAAAATAGAATCATCAATTGCTGTAAGATCTTTTTCTCAATAAATAGTATGTTATAATCACTTTAGATTTGGCTATAATTGACTTGTTTGGACCAGAACAAGACTTGAGTGATTTAGACTGACTTGAGAGAAGTCTAGAAAAGTTTCATTTGGCTGTAACTTGAAAAGCTCGTCATGTGGTCTACATTCACAAGATGGTTTTTATCCATTTCGTCCAGATGTTTTATATTTTATAGGTATTCTTTAAAACGCGATGTGCCAAATTCAATAGATGTTACGTAAGATATTATCATGAATTCGACGACTTCGGGGCTCCACCATAACTCCCGAACCGAATGGACTCATAAAGTCCACATAATGCCAAAACCCTGACGTTCATTGTTTTCCCTCTGCAGGCATAAAGAAACTCTCCTCACATCGATATAAACTCCCTGCACGTACAAAGGATTTCCAAAACGACTATATTCTAACTGTCAACTATCTCCCGTTCTCATTCCAATGCAATTTTTCTGCTATCATTTCGTGCATCAAATTTTCCAGAGCACTGCGAAAAATGGCAGAAGTAAAATGATTCTCTAACTACTTTACTTCACAAAAAAACAGATTAATGCAAAGCGTTATACAGCTGCGAATTTAAAAGGACGGGCTTTCCGTCTAGAGTGTCTCTTTTCACATTTTCGGATGTAAAAGTCAAATTTTCAGTTACAAATGTTATCAATTATTTTCTATCTATATATGAGAGCTTCGCCGATAATTAGCCGAGGCAGAAATCCTTGAAACCAATATCTCGATACGAAGAGCACGATAGCGAGTTCATTTCTATTCGACCTAATCCAGTCCAGTTTAAGTTGAGCCGAACTATCACAAAATTGTTCAAAGAGTACGAGGTGTTGTACAGTAATGCGCTACTCGCACTATATCCCGCTACATTCAGCACACACGAACTCGAGTATGAAGTAACGACATAGCCTGAATAGAAGCTGAATGGACCGTTGGAAGAAGATGCTTGTATTACCAGCGGGTTACTGTTGAACCAGCCAATATAAGAATCGGAGCCGGCTAAATTGGCATATGCAGTTGGTATGCCAGATATAGACGCTAAAAGAAATTGTCCATTTGTCCAAGCAAAGCCCTTATAGCTGGATGGTATTGGTGCGTTCGTTGAGCCAGGAACCGTACTGTTATCAAAAGTGATGGCAGTACCTCCTATTGGACAGGCTAAAACAAAATAATTTCATTTGAGAAAAGCAGTTTAGATAAAAGCAAGCGGTAGAGGGATTGTTTACCTGGTTGAACTTGCGGACCACTGACACAGAAATCCTTGAAACCAATGTCAGCATACCCACTTGAACTCTGCGACATCATTTCTATTCGGTTCAGTCCAGTCCAGTTCAAGTTAAGTCGAAGTATGGCATTATTGTTCAGGGAGTAGGAAGCGCTGTACAATAGTGTATTAGTCACATCGTACCCTGTTACATTCAGTGCGGCTGCACTCGTCCACGGAGCTACTACGTAACCTGAGTAGAATGTGAATGGTCCATTTGGAGGAGATGCTTGTATGATCATTGGATTATGATTGAAGTAGCCAACATAGGAATCCGAACCGGCAAAATTCAGGTAAACTTGTTGTGTGCCGTACAAGTTTGCAGCGATTACATTTGCGTTGATCCATGCAAAACCCTTGTAGTTTGATGGAACTTGTGACTGATTTGAGCCAGGAACTGTATTATTGTCAAAGGTGATAGCAGTTTCTCCCACTGGACAAGCTAAAGTCAGAGAAATTCAATTTTCAAAATCTTATTCTCAGAAATTCTCCACAATGGCTATGATTGAAGGACGCGTTACTCGTAGCACTCACCTGGTTGGACTTGGGGAGCACTGACACAGAAATCCTTGAAACCAATCTCAGGCGGCCCAAATGGACTCTGCGATATCATTTCGATTCGGTCCAGTCCTGTCCAGTTCAAGTTGAGCCAAAGTATTGCATAATTGTTCAGGGAGTAGGAAGCGCTGTACAATAGTGTATTAGTCACATCGTACCCTGTTACGTTCAGTGTGGCTGCACTCGTCCACGGAGCTACTACGTAACCTGAGTAGAATGTAAACGGCCCGTTGGGAGGAGATGCTTGCATGATCATTGGATTATTATTGAAGTAGCCAACATAGGAATCCGAACCGGCAAGATTCAGGTAAGCACTTTGTGAGCCGATATATGATTCGAATTGAAAATTTGCATTCATCCATCCGAAGCCTTTGTAGTTTGATGGAATTTGTGCCTGATTTGAACCAGAAACTGTGGAATTATCGAAGGTGATAGCACTTCCACCTGTTGGACAAGCTAAAACGAGAGAGTTTCAGTGTAGAAATGTAATTACAGAGAATATCTTGCAGTAGCAATGAGTGAATGAATCATTGCCGGAAATACTTACTGGCCTGAACTTGTGGAGAACTGACACAAAAATCCTTAAAACTAAGATATCCCCAACCATTTGGATCCGGAAAGGTCAGTAACATTTCTATTCGATCTAATCCAGTCCAATTCAAATTGAGCCAAAATATCACTTGGTTGTCGAGCGAGAATGAAGTATTGTACAGTGTGTGACCGACAATATTATATCCTGTAACAGTGAGTGAAGCAGTAGTCGTAGAAGCAGCCACTACATAGCCTGAGTAAAATGTAAATGGTCCGCTTGGAGGAGTGGCTTGTAGTACCATCGGGCTGTATTGTACAATACTTGTATACGAATCGGAACCGGCAATATTTGCAAAAGCAGTTTGGGGTCCTTGAAATGATGCCTGAACGGTGTACGAGCCTATCCAAGTGAAACCATAGTAATTGGATGGAATCGGAGCGAAAAAATTGGCTGTAATATTTTGAGTGTTGATCGCTGTTCCTCCCGTCGGACAGACTAAAATAATAATGTTACAGAATCCTTCTAACAAATAATTTTTTAATACTGGCCATTCGTGGGAATCAAGAGCACGCTTCAGTTTATGTCGCTTGAGTTCGGCATACTCTTTCAAAGACCTGATTCGCGCATGTATCATCTTACTATTACAGTTTGTACGAATCAATGGAAATCAACAAATGCTATAGGAATGACTCGAGACTTAATATTTTCATAGGACTGTCTGCTTTCTGCAGTGTTTTCTGCTAAAATTTTCCCTTATATGGAGACATATCAAACTAACAATAAAAATAGAGTTTCTGTGATTCTGATAATATGCTACTGAACAGCGATAGGCATAGGTCGGTTCGGTTTTACCTGGTTTAATATAGCTTAAATCAGTCTACAGAAGTCGAAAATGAAGGAGATAAATCAATCAGTACTATGCATAGAGGAAACGTTCACACTCGTCTCGTAAGGTGGTAAAGGGTTGTATTTTTCAAAACTAATTTGAAAAATATAAAAGAAAAGTGCTCAGATCACATGCACAGAATCAAGAAGAAGAATTTTAGATTTCTTTCGAGGTATCTTTTTTATCTCATAGTTGCTTTTTTTTCTGCTGCCACACATACTCTAATAATTTTATTTTGCTTCTTTTACACTAGATGTCGGAGTTAAGTGTAGTATTCAGTTGCCTTCGAAATTGAAACTCCTGTGACATTCTTATACGAAAATAATAGTTGACAATAATCGAGAAACAAACTCTCCAGAACAGACGAAGATTGTATTCATTAGCGATCGATAATTCAGTTGAACATTTTTTCGATGTGATAAAGTTCAGATTGTGAGACATTCATCCCACGCCCTCAAAATCTGTACCTTACAGTAGTTTTTCGCTACCTGTAAAACACTGATTTTACCACATCGATATTCAGTAACGACCTGCATCAATTACATTTTCAAACTATCTATTTCCATCGATTCTAATTGCGATGCAAATAATTTAACAGAGGGAGCATGCATTTCAGTCACTACCCTAAAACTGTGGTTACCTGGTTGCACTACCAGAGAGCTAACGCACAAATCCTTCAAACCGATGTCTTGTGCTGCTCCATCAAGTGCCGTCGAGGACATTTCTACACGATTCAATCCAGTCCAGTTCAGATTGAGGTAACTAATGACTCGAGTATTGAGCGAATATGAAGTGCTGTACAAGAGTGCGCCGGTGGCATCATATCCACTGATATTCAGAAGCAATGAATTTGAGTAGAGCGCTATGGCGAAGCCCGAATACAGTGTGAATGGTCCATTGGGTGGAGCTATTTGCATTATCATTGGATTGGTGTTGAATGAAGCGACATACGCATCAGAACCAGCCATATTTGAATAAGGACTCTGGGTGTTGGGTGCGGGTGCTTGTGTAAACATTGCGAGGTACCAACCGAAACCGCCATAATTGGACGGAATTTGACCAGAACTAGCACCACCAGTAGTAATATCATTGAATGTCATACCTGATTGACCCGTAGGGCAAACTAAAAGGAGAGAAGTTCAGCTAAAGATTATTTGTGTGGACGGCTTTGAAATACTTAAAATTCAAGATTTTAACTGTTCGCATAGATTTACTCTTCGCTCTTTGCTGCACTTCTCCTTTACTGAGGGGTAAATTAAATACTCTCATCGCACTCCTCATTTATATGAACTCACACATCTTGGAAAAGTATGTGTACCAGGCGCCAGATAATGACGTTTCTCGATGGAACAGATATGTGCAGTATTGGAGCTACGTCGCTATCTATTTCTTCCTATTCAATTGCATCGTTGTGATGCAAAGCACACGCTTCTGTACTCGTCTTCCCAGAGCAGCAAAAGAAAGCATTATCTCATCGTACACCCTCACCCTCACCCACCCAAGAACTATCTTTACCTGGTTGAACAACCGGTGAACTGATGCACAAGTCTTTGAAACCGATGTCTTGTGCTGCTCCATCCAGTGCCGTCGAGGACACTTCTACCCGATTCAATCCAGTCCAGTTCAGATTGAGGTAACTAATGACTCGAGTATTGAGTGAATATGAAGTGCTGTACAAGAGTGCGCCGGTGGCATCATATCCAGTGATATTCAGAAGCAATGAATTCGAGTAAAGAGCTATAGCGAAACCCGAATAGAGCGTAAATGGCCCATTGGGTGGAGTCACTTGCATTATTATTGGGCTGTTGTTGAATGAAGCAATATAAGTGTCGGAGCCAGCCAGATTCGAGAAAGGGCTTTGTGTACTCGCGGCTGGTACTTGTGTGAACATGGCATTGACCCAAGCGAAACCATCGTAATTGGAAGGAATGAGACCGGAAGTCGCACCACCAGTTGTGCTAACGTTGAATGTGATACCTGTTTGACCGGATGGACAAGCTAAAATGAAAGAATGGATATGAGAATTAAGACGAAGATACTGTGCTGCTTGGGTGCAAACAGTCTTCCTATTTTCGGACGTTTACTAAAAGATTTGTGGAGTACCACAGAGTCCTTCTCAGGGTGCGAATGTATGGCTAGATGAACCAGCTATTTAATTTCTCTCGAATTGCTGTCCCTAAGAAAGGCGAGATGAAACTAAAGCTTACTTGGTTGAACAACCGGTGAACTGATACACAAGTCTTTCAAACCGATGTCTTGCGCTGCTCCATCCAGTGCCATCGAGGACATTTCTACCCGATTCAATCCAGTCCAGTTCAGATTGAGATAACTAATCACACGAGTATTGAGTGTGTATGAAGTGCTATACAAGAGTCCACCAGTGATATCATATCCAGTAATATTCAGCAGCAATGAATTCGAGTAAAGAGCTATTGCGAAACCTGAATATAGTGTAAATGGTCCGTTGGGTGCAGCTACTTGCATAACCATCGGGTTGGTGTTGAACGAGGCAATATATGCATCAGAACCTGCCAGATTGGAAAAAGGGCTCTGGGTACTGGCAGCTGGTGCTCGTGTGTACATGGCATTGACCCAAGCGAAACCACTATAATTGGAGGGTATGAGACCTGACGTAGCACCACCAGTGATGATATCGTTGAATGTGAGACCTGTTTGACCGGTTGGACAAACTAAAATGAAAGAATGGATGTGATAATTAGGACGAAGATACGGTGCTGCCTGGGTGCAAACAGTCTTCCTATTTTCGCACATTTACTTAGAGATTTGTTGAATATCACACCGTCCTTATGAAGGGTGCGAACCTATGGCTCGATGAACTAGCTATTTAATTTATTCCGATTTGAGGTTCTTAAGAAAGGCGAGATGAAACTAAAGCTTACCTGCTTCAACAACCGGTGAACTGATGCACAAGTCTTTCAAGCCAACATCTTGTGCTACTCCATCCAATGCCGTCGAGGACATTTCTACCCGATTCAATCCAGTCCAGTTGAGATTGAGTGGAACAATCACACGAGTATTGAGTGTGTATGAAGTGCTATACAAGAGTACACCGGTGGCATCATATCCAGTGATATTCAAGAGTAATGCATTCGAATAGAGAGCTACGGCGAAGCCGGAGTACAGTATGAATGGTCCGTTGGGTGCGCCTACTTGCATAACCATCGGGTTGGTGTTGAACGAGGCAATATATGCATCAGAACCTGCCAGATTGGAAAAAGGACTCTGGGTACTGGCAGCTGGTGCTCGTGTATACATTGCATTGACCCAAGCGAAACCACCATAGTTAGATGGAATGAGACCTGAAGTAGCAGCACCAGTGCTAATATCATTGAATGTGATACCTGTTTGACCAGTTGGACAAACTAAATGAAAGAAGGTTGGTAGAAGATGATTGAAGGAAAGAATGTGTGAGAGTTAGGATTGAGATATTCCATTGTATGGTGGGAACTACATGGTGCTAAATATCATGTGAGGCGAGAACCATGTAGATGGTCTTCGCTATGTGCATAATCTACATGTACACACAGTTACGGTCATGAAATAATTTTAAGACTCACCCAGAAGTGTCACACAGAAATACCTACATGCTCGCCCACTGCATACAACTGTGGCAGTACGTTTTCTGTCAGATGAAAGTGGCGTTCCTTACCTAGTTGAACTAGTGGGCCAGTGATGCAAAAACTCTTCAGACCAATATCGGGTCCTGCGCCATCCAAAGCCGTGGATGACATTTCTACTCGATTTAGCCCCGTCCAGTTAATATTCAAAGTAACTACTGAACCGTTGTTGAGAGAGTATGAAATGTTGTACAATGGAACATCGATAGTATCGTACCCAATGATATTCAGCACCATTGCATTAGAGTAAAGAGGGACAGCAAAGATTGAATATAGTGCAAATGGTCCATTGGGTGGGACTGCTTGGATTATCATTGGAGGCTGATAGAAGAAGGCGACGTTAAGACCAGAACCAGCAAGATTCACATAATTACTATTAGGCGCATTAGTTGCCAGTTGATAGTTTGCCCTGGTCCAAGCAAATCCATAATAGTTTGAAGGTATGGGACTGCTTTGAGCATTTTGAGCTTGAATATCATCGAATGTTATTGTTTTTCCTCCAATCGGACAAGCTAAAGTTGAAGTTATACTTTAATAACTAAGGGGAAAAGTCCGTACTTTGTTTGTGAATTAAAAATCTTTACGAGTTCTGAGGAAAACATACCCGCGTTTGACTTAAACGACTGTTTTGTCGGAAAATTATTAAAGGTTTACGTCATCACGGTAATGCGCATCTTTATTTGCTTTTACACAGCGATTAAACCGATTATTCAGTGCTAACGACGTCGAGCAGTCCTCCCCTCTCACATCTATATCTGACTATAAAAGCAAGCGTTGTTATTTTGTATCAGTACTAATAACCAAAGAGATTTTCCCCATGGTGTATCTGTGTATGTGACGGGTCACAAATGAACTACTCCACTCTACTTCAAATATTATCTGAAGCAGATGATGTCCCGCTTTTCTCTCCTCGGGCATAATTAACCTTTCGAAATCATTTATGTGGGAAAAGCTATCTTTCGTCACACTCAACGCCGTTGGCTCAGAAGTGACGTTCTTCATTTATTCGTTTACTTACACGGCTTTGTTCGCGCCTCTCATAACAATATGGAATCTTAGCTTCTCATTCACATTATTGTACGTCTTTTTCTTCGACTTTCAATCTTATACCTTCCGTAATGTGCCATCTTACGTGTTGTTTCCCTCGTACCTGATAGGATGAATAGAACAAGTCAAACACATTTTCCTGCAACCAACATTTGGTGCTCACGTTCACTGTGAGATCTATTGGCACTTATTTTTATTATTGCGTGGGTGTTACTCATATTTTCTTTTTCTATCCTATCTCCTTGCTCAACTAATTTGCTGCATGTATCACCTATACAAATGTATAACAAAGAAGACCACGTCACTATCACAGTTGCTCCTTCGAGTCGAGAAGTCATTTGCCCTATACCTTCTGTGTCAGTCAGTCTTCTTTCTTTCTCGCATTAACTAAATATCAATAAGAGTACCATATTCAAGGCGACTACTACAATCCTATCAGATAGCGATATTAATACCTAACAATGACGAAGCTTTTCCACTAATGTGTCTAAAGGACTACGATCGCGCCATCATCCGTGAATAAACGAGCCTCATTTGCTTATAAATTCTTCAGAAAAAAAACTTACTAGCACACGGTCCATTTATAACAGCAACACCATCGGTACAATCCGCACACTTGTATCCTGTGTTCCCATTTCCAATTGGTTGGCAAACCCCACCGCCCATAGCTGAGTTGCAATTCGTCGAAGTTGTACATGGAGAAGCTATAAAAAACGAGAGAAATAGGAATGAATGGCTGATTATGAGCATAGTTCAATTGTTTTACCAGGACATGCACCATTTATAACATCTCCACCGTAATTACAGCTAGTACACGTGTAATTGCTTGTTCTATCACCGTTTGGAACACAAACCCCACCGCCCATAGCTGAGTTGCAATTAGCTGAAGTTGTACATGGAGAAGCTATAAAAAACGAGAGAAATAGGAATAAATGGCTGATTATAAGTATAATTCAATTGTTTTACCAGGACATGCACCGTTTATAACATCCCCACCGTAGCTACAACTAGTGCATTTGTAATTGCCTGTTCCTACCCCAAGTTCTACACATTTGCCGTTGCCACCATTGGAATTACAGTTTACAGCAGCTGTACAAGCTGAATACAAAAGATAGAGATTATTGGAAGCAAATTTTATTGGTGCTTTAGCCGAACGTGAAAGAATTATTGCTCAGTTGCGCACCAATTCGAATCCAATTCTAGATTCAGAATTGATTGAATTCCATCCGAGATTGGCCAGCAAGTATTATTAATTACAACGCAACTAACACAGGTTTCGAATAGTTTTCGCTGGTGATACATGAATTTGTTTCCTATTAGATCTCATGAAGTCTATCAAAATGGTTAACTATGCTATGTCAATTGATTTGATGCGTTATAGCGTTTTCCGGAAAATTAGGAAATTCTAACTTAAGCCTACAATATCCAATATGAAAGTACACAACAGCTGAAATGGACCTACTGCTCATTAGGGACTTTCCGTAATAGGGCATAAACGGCACCGATACCCACTCCGCGCCCTCCCTGACAGAGATCCCTACTGACATCCACCCACGCCCGCCCGCCCTCAACTAGACGAAATCTTATGTTTCCATGTCGAGTATCCTAACGAACATTAATAAGTACACTATACTCAACACTATTTATTCTGTATCACTAAACTACTAGGACGCGTCAGATAACTACGACTCCAAAAAGAAAAAGTAGCGAAGAATAGATCATACTTATATAACAACAATTTAAGCTATAGATTATTGTCAGAAGCTCATCGAGTTACTTTCTTACAATAGTATACTTGATTCGATTATGTGTAGACTTCTAATCGAATCTGTATATCTCGAGTAATCATAAGAATTAAATAATGGGATGTTCTATATAAACAGAGTAAAGATACTATAAAGTTTCATGTATACATACCTAATTTTATAATTTCTTCGGTGCCTCGCACGAGCGAACAAAAATTTAAAGTAACATCGATAGATGTTCCATTCGAGAGTGTCACACTAATATTAATGGGTGTTATGTTTTGGATGCGTGACGTAACCTTATCGATGATATTTTGATGGCATTTTGATGTGATGCATGTTTTGGAAAAATCGAGAGAGAACTGAATCCTGACAACGTCCATATCAGTGCTTGCATGGTTTTCGCATTGGATTGTCCTCCAATGACAGTATTCAAATAAAGCGAGACATAAGCTAGTCTACTTACTCTCGTCTTCTTTTTTTTTTGCTTGATGCGGCTATGAAATAAGCTAACATAATTCTGACTTCACTGATATCTAATCTTTTGTTCAGCTGAAAATAGAGAAAAATATATCGTAAAAAGAGTATTGACATCGGCTAGATATTTGCCTCAGTGCTCAGTGGCGCAAGATTAATCACATCGGATGTTGATACATCGATAGTCGTCGTGGTATATTTCAATGTGAAGATAGCCGGACCTAACAGTACAGATCAAAGTATTCAGTTTAAAAGAACAGCAATAATACCTGTGTCTGCTTGGATGTCAGTACCGCGAGCTGACAAATATACAGGAATAAGACCAAGGACGATCATACTTGCCATAACACCAAGTAAAATCAGTCCACATAGAATGAGCAAGATCGGCGACCGCTGCGTCCAATTCATGTTGTAGCGGTAACGGTAACGATCTATTGCGCTATTAACGATTTATCCTCTAAAACGGCAAAACTTACATTAGTATTAAATGGTATTTTCTAATAATCATTCGTTCTCATCAACGCATTATTTCAGATGTTTCACAAAAATATCTCCATCGCAATATACATGAAGTATAAAAGACGGTCTCACAAGACAGCAGACAGGGTTTGAGCACTCATAAAAGGCGGTACAGAAGTTTTGTTCAAGCTTTGGTGGCCTGTGGAATACATTAAGTATTCTTTCCAAACAAAAAGAAATTCAATGTTGCACTGCATTTTAAATACAAAATATATCAGAAGATGCAGCGTGAAAAGCTCTACAATTTAGGAAGAAAAATTATAAAAAGGCGTAGTAAGGAAACAAGCAACTTCGTCTTGTATGAAAAAGGGTGCCACTCCTATTACCAAAACATAACCGCTCAGTACTTTGCCCACTTTAAGAGCAAAATTACAATTATAAAATAAATAATTATATGAAAGTTGTAGTTTGTCTTGTTGCATCTTTTGATATATTTTGTTTTCTAGATGCAGTACAACAGGTGTCTTAATAATGAAACGCAACACGGAATTTCTTTTTGGTGCCAGAAAAATGTGTTCAGCAATTTTTTCTGACTTGTATCCAGCGCAAATATGTCCTTCCATTAGAAATTGTTCGACACGTTCATTTTGTTGCTTCTACACAATCATAGCGTTTCAAATATAAGCCCAACCATTTCATATGGAAATAGTTTCTATAGATAGCTGTATAGTGCTTCTGACGAACTTCAAAGAAAACGAAATCTCTATGGCCTTGCCACCGTTTTGATCAAGAATTATACTAAAGTTAGAAGAGCAACACCTACGGTTCAAACTTTCTCAGAAGCTGCCCTGCCAATGGAGCTGTAAAACATAGTATAAAATAGCTCTTAAACGCCTGCGTAAACTCTAGAAAGTCGCTATGCATTGATAATTATTACCCACATTTGTCTCAGTGTTTCGGTAAAAATTTGATCTTTCTTTCGTTTTCATCAGCTTAACCATGACTAGTTCTGAAACCTAATATTACATTCGTGTCATGGGAATCTAACGACACCTAGAACCTATAATAAAGCGTTAGATGAAACGTTTGAATTTGTTTTTAAGAGAAAAATGCTACTGCTCAGGTCAACGAATCCGATGCTAGATCTGGCCATCCGACAAAATCCGACCGGATTCCTGGAAACGGAATTACATTGGAATCTGACTGGAAAAATTGAATATGTCAAGGAATCCGGAAAACAAAAAAATCCGGAAAAATGAAATCCGAAAAGTAAAAAAATCAGGAAAATTAAAATGTGGAGAAAATAAAAGCCTCGGTGGATTTTTTCTCTTTCTGTTTCTTTTGATACAGATACAAGGAGCAGCTATGTATATGATCTCGTCATTGTATTCGACAGGCGTCGACAGAAGATATATATATGTGTATGTGTCCACTCTCTCTATTTACCATTCCTTGTTCAACGTATTCATTCATAAACAGTAACAAAGGCAAACCTCTCCTCGTCGTCGACGACTATGTCTTTCAAGAAAGCGGCAAGTCCACGACGACGACTACCTATTGGGCATGCCAATTCAAGGGCTGTTCGGCCGTTGCTCATACAAGCACGGGAACTGGTATTTTGATCAAACAGAAGAATGATCATTGCCATTCTTCCGTCCCAGAGAAGATCGAGATCCGTAAATTGATGAACAAGGTCAAGAGCNAAAGCGGCAAGTCCACGACGACGACTACCTATTGGGCATGCCAATTCAAGGGCTGTTCGGCCGTTGCTCATACAAGCACGGGAACTGGTATTTTGATCAAACAGAAGAATGATCATTGCCATTCTTCCGTCCCAGAGAAGATCGAGATCCGTAAATTGATGAACAAGGTCAAGAGCCGCATCGCTTCTGAAACAACAGCTATCGGTTAGATATACGAACAAGAAATGGCAAAGGCGAATCTCTCGACAACAGCTCTTGTTATGGCACCAACAGCGATTGAAGCTCGTAAGTAAAGAAAAGTTTCGTTCCGACTAAATTTTACTGTCTTTTCGACATTATATAGGAGCTGGTCTTAATCTACAGCGGCGAAAGGCAATGCCGGCTCTTCCTGTCTCAATCGATTTCTACATTTCTCGGTGTTATAAGATGGCTCTGAACGGTGAACGTTTTCTTCTCGCCGATCACGTTTGGCACGCCGATGCTGGCATTTCTAAGCGCATCGTTATCTTCGCTACAAATGAACAGCTTAAGTTTCTCTTCAAATGCACCCACATCCTGATGGATGGCACGTTCAGCACCTCGCCGAAACACTTTACTCAGGTCTATTCGATCCATGGGCTCAAATAGAAACAAAGTCGGTTTTCTTCGAAGTTTTACCGTGCAATTGCTCCAAACAATTCTATTTAGGCTTTCTCTGTATCATTGTGCTCATGACTGAACGAAAGGCCTTCTCCTATAAGCATATGTTTCGTGTTCTTAGAAGCAATGCAGTTCGTCTTTAGCTTGGTTTCAAGCCTACTAAGATAACAACTGATTTTGAATCGGCACTCATCAATGTCATCAAAGCAGAAGTGATTCTGCTCTTATCTGATCCTCCAGAAAGTATATCCTCTTTTTTCCCTCCTATTTAGTTGCCAAATGTTCAGCACAAAGGCTGCTACTTCCATTATACAAATGCCACCCATCGGAGAATCCAGACACTAGGACTCTCCACAGTATACAAAACCGAACACGATGCACGCTTATCTGGACGAAAGCTCATGGCATTTGGCCTTGCTTCTTTTCAATCAGGTCAAACTCGCTTTCGATGACATTGCTGAGGGAGCACCAGATTCAATCAATGATCTCATCGATTATTTTCGAGATGATTGAATGAAGAACATGAATTTGAGCCTATGGAACGTGGCGGGTCTCGATGTGCGCACGAATAATCACGTCGAGGGTGAATGATCTCTCTTATTATCTCGATGAAAGCTTTTGGAAACAAGCATTTCAATTTTTCTGTTTAGGCTGGAACAATCGTTTCAACAAGCGTATGAACAAAACTCATCCGAACATGTGGGCATTCATCGCTTGTTTACAAGCTGAAGAAGTCATCTTTCGACAAGTATTTCTTAAGTTCAAGGCAGGTGCACAAAAGAAAATAATGCTGAATACATTGACGATGCAGAAACACATCGACAATCTGAACACTCGCTTCAACAATAATGAGATCGATCGTGTCGAGCTTCTCGACGGACTCTCATTATTAGCGGCCTCAAAGAAATAAAAATAAACTGCTCATCCGACTGTTTTTAACATCTTCACTGCTTTTACTATTGTGCTTCTATGATTAACATTCCGATTACATTTTTCCTGATTTTTTTCCAGCTTTATGTTTCCGGATTTGTTTTTTCCGAATTCCTTGACAATACCGAAAAATTCAGTCGGTTATTGTAAAGTTTATGAGCGATCTTTTTAGCTATATTCTATGATGACCCCTAGAAAATCCGTGTTTCGGACCCAACGAAATCCGATCGGATCCGAGTGTGGGATTGGTCGACCTGGGTGACTCAATAGACAAAGGCACACTCGCTGAATATTATAGATTAGATCGATATAACCATAGTTAACACTTATTGATCAGTACAACTAAACACATACACTTCTAAATTATTAGATATTATGCATATCTATACGAGTAGCTATGAATAAATGATTAGGTTGTCCGACACGAAGTGACAAGGCACTGTGCTCGAGTCTCAGTAACACCATCCATGGAACGACCCTAGACAAGTCACTAACGGCTAAGTTGTCTACATGGCTCGTACTACATGAGTTATCCATACTGATTACACGCTTAGTCAGTATGTTAAATGGAAGAAGATGCAGATACCGCCGTTCGTAAAAAGAAAAGACGATAGATCACGACTGCATGTGGAAAAGTTACTAATAATAACCGCGACTGGTCCCAGCGGGCGGAAAACTCTCTGGGACGTTATTATTTGCCAATTTTCAACAAAGTAATACTGTATTTGAAAAGCGACTGAAGTTCTCTACTATCCTGTATATTTTGATTGTACCTTTCGCTTTTGAAGGAGCAACATAAAAGTGAACGTGATAAAGACAATCTGTCTTTCAGATTCCTACTACGGAAATCAAGTTTTCTGAACTCTGCATTACCATAAAATGATACTTTTGAAAGGATAATTATATATTATGGTAGTACTCGAAATTCTCTATTTTCTATATATTTGTTTATTTATTTGCATATATCTACTATGAAAATAGCCTTAGAACTAGGGAATTATCAAACGCGATAACTTCGAAGCATCTTGTGTATGACGTATTTTTTCAACTATGACTACAAAGAAAAACATTCTCTCACAAAATAAGTATCTGTTCTAGGGCTTGTCCACGCAACGCGCTACTTCGGCCATTAAGTATTTTATTCAAAGTTGAAAGAGAGCACATATACCATGTTTTAGAACATGTTCGAAAGTGTCAGAAAATGTGCTTTGTTTTTGAAAAGAGTATGATTCTTGATCTTGACAAGCACACATAAGAAGTCCTATTCATCACA